CCACTTTAGGTCTATAAAATGATATATTTATTCACTAGGATATATCGGAAATAACGATGAATGAAATTTACATGATTATTCGGTATATATAATTATGAATTTATGATTGTCCAATTGAAAGCCACAGTACTTTTAAAAGAATTAATCTAAATATAATGATTTCTGACTACAGTTATTAAGTTGAACCGAAAGGCTGTTCATTGAACCCGAAAACAATTAAATAGATTGGATATTGATTGACGATGATTTATAATGATGATAAGGAATTGTAACAGCTGTAGATGTATTTCTAGAAAAAAAATTGCTTTTTTAAATATTGCACTTTGTTACTTTATATTTTATATGTCTTCAGCAAAAAAGACATTTGTATAGAACAAGTAAAAAAGCTGTTTGCAAACGTTTATGAAAATCTGACTTTTTGAAAGAATCTGGGCTACTATAAGTATTATTTTTCAGTTAAAGTACCCCAAAACTTTAGGTTTTTTTTTTTACAGTTTCTAATGTTTCTTATGTTTCCTTGTATGTCGTGTTTGATCTAGATCTGCTATTGACTTTGAATACTTTTTGATGAAACTTTTTTTTTTACAGTTTCTGAACAGCCTTTTCCTCTTGATATATTTAGTAACATTATAAAAAATAAAATAATGAAAAAAATAAATATTTTCAAATAGTTCGTTTTTTCTACCATGAATTAAAATTCTAATTTTCTATGTTATTCATTTGCGTAATTGTAGAGCTTCAAGCATCACTTAAACAAAATCTGACAAAACTTATAAGTTTTATGCCTCTCAAGCCAATAGAATTAAAGCAAACACTTCTAAGTGACTATTTTCTCGCAATTCTTGTAAATCAATAAAAATGATGAGAGACAGTGTCTTCCCTCTCCTGGGGGGCGTTTTAGGCTGAGAATAAGAAAACGTGTACCTTTGCTCTTTGAGTTGGCTGTTTATGTAACTACATGACAGAGATAGTTCAGATCTGCCGTAGATAGTGAGATGCTAGCTGTAAAGGGACACCGTTCAGGTCGAGGAATAGAGACGAATTACTAGTATTATTATCAGATGTAAAGTTGGATTTTGTTTTCAGTGAACAATTGGTTCATCTAAGAGAAAATTTGCTTGATTAAAAATGGATAATTTTGAAAACAAGTCATTATCGAATGACACAGTGTTCGGTAACTGTATACATAGCTTTGTTATTCACTATGTGCCGGCCATTATTGTAGGAATAGGACTAATAGTGAACATTTTAGCCATCACATCCATCTGTCTCACAGGAAAAGTGAAGATCCCGACTTACACCGCCATTTTATGTCTGGCTGTATCCGATTCGCTGGCCCTGGTCACCCGACTGGCCCGAGTCGAGGCGTGTGCTGTTTGTTCTCTGTTGTATGGTGAGGAACTCTGTTCTGGCAATAAATCACGTGTGACAGCAGTACAGACGATTTCCTCTATACCTTCTTTTTATGACGTTACATGGATCATTTTGTCATGTGATTCTTCTGGCCGCCGTACGTTACGTCATCATTGTCCATCCACTGAAAGCTAGGGGATGCCTAACCTCCGGGAAAGTGATAGGATTCTCGGGGGTAGCCTGGATTTTTACTCTTATCGTCAGTTTAGTGTATGGAATTGCTTGCATGAAATATCTAGAGGGCTTATATGAAGGCAAAGCAAATTGGTTTATGGATAACTTTGAAGTAATTGATATAATTATGTGTTTTTATTTGTTCCTTGTCACCCTCATACCACTGCTGTTGTTTCACATTGCCAAAAGGAAAGTAATACCCGCGACCTTGACCTATCACGTGGTCAGAATGAACAGAATGGTTATAGTTGTGGCACTAATTACGGTCATCAGTCTGTTTCCACTGATGTTGCGGAACATTATCTCTATGCTAGGATTGGACAAATTTACTCAAAAACAAAAGGTGATTTTCTTCAGTGCCATACAGTTTATTTATTTCTTAAGACACGTGGTCAATCCGATACTGTATTTCTGGATCAATGAAGTCCTAAACAGGAAAAGAAATTATACAAAATGCTGTCAACATCCAGCTAGGGATTAAAAAACCCAGAAAAATATGATATTACATGTGATTTGAAAGTGTTAATTCAGAACATTCTTGAGATACTCTATTTACCTGTTTTGCATTTGAAGTCAAAAATCTGAGTGCTTAGTCGGGAGAGAGAGAGAGATCACGTGCACGTGTATTATGTCATACTCTCCGACGTGTATTTTTATTAATAAAATGATATTGAAGGATTTTAAAAAAAAAAAAAAAATATTAAAAATGAATGTTTTTGAAATTGTCATCTCTCTGTAGCTTTTCGTACCCATTACTATAGTATCTGTATTTCAGTGAGGGATTATCTAATTGAATTAAAACGTATTAATTTAAATTTTAATTAATTAAAAATTAATCAGAAATTCTATATCAGTGATATACTTTTTAATCTTTCTTTAATCTTTACACAAACATTTATTTATATTTTGTATTTGAACAGTCACTTAAAATACTTCCAAATGTGAGCGACAGAAATTTTACAGGTAGAATTAGTAACCAGACGAAGAAGTCGTGTCTTACATTTTGCTTTATAATAAAATGTTTCAAGATCTTTAATACGGCGAATTTTGAAGAAATCTTTTGTCCTCTTTTAAAGATGCCAGTTTTATAGACAATAACCCTTACTCAGAATGTCTCACGTGCAGTATTCTCGTTATATTTTACTGAAATTGAAACGTAAATCTTGCGTTCTTGTTATTTGTGCCATTTACGTCAATATCAATGTATCATCAAATCATAGTTTTCAAGTTCATGTTTCCAAAGCTTACAACCAAAAAATCTTTCTCTTCTCCAAAAATACACGACCTGTCAATCTTATTGCTTTTTTGCAGTAAGCTGTACTATAAGGTGTAATACAGCTTTTTAAGAGTTGGTGTAACAGGAATAGTTTTTTATTCGATATTTTATAATCTTAAAACGATTTGGCTTTAAAAGAATCTTTCATAGTTTGTATTGCAATCCGAAAAACGCCCTTATTGTATTTCAAAGAACATAGGAATATGTCAGATTATCTGCACTCATGCAATACATGTATAATTTAAATTCGAGCAAAAAAAAAAAAAAAATCAAGAGCCTAGACTCTTTTACATTAAACTTGAAATCATAAATCATCAGTTGTACTTTAGTGAAGAGATAAATCATACAAAAAGTTTCTACACCACAATATTTAATAGGATGATGAGATTCAAATGATAAATGTTTGGCCGTGTAACATTGGTTTTTATCATATTTGTAGTATTACAGATACGTGATATTCACATACACGTGTAACATTAGTTTTTATCATATTTGTAGTATTACAGATACGTGATATTCACATACACGTGTAACATTGGTTTTTATCATATTTGTAGTATTACAGATACGTGATATTCACATACAAATTTTACTATTATACATAGGATTTCCTAGTAGTATTTGAAAATATGTGGAGATAGTGAACCACATTTGAGCTCAAGAGTCCAGCAAACATTTACAAAATAGGAGCGGAGTCAACACGGACTCCGAACCACCAGAGGTGGGATCAGACGCGAATATACTAGTGCCAATAATGAATAGGCCGTGTATTGTTATATGGTTCTAAGTCACTTTATTATTAGAAACTATGAAATTTTCATGATTGCAGTAGGATATTTATTAGATTTTGGAACATGGAAATAGGTAAAAGCATCGCAATAAAAGAAACTCATATGCAGGAGAACCAGCGGCAAAATTAATACACCTTGAAATTATTTGAAAAATATGACAATTAACTATGGTGTAGGATTGTTAACAAGATAAAGGAACCGAGTTAAAAAGATAAAAGCGCCTCTGTGCCTATTTACTAATGTGTATCAATACAAAAGATAGGATTTTTTTTTATTTTCGAACCTCTCAAGTTTTACATTTAAAGACGATTCTATTTCTACAAGATTACTCAAACTCTATTTGCAGAGTTTAGTAAAAGTTTTTGAAAATAGTACCGGTATTAGATAAAGAAGGAGATGTGAACAAGTTACATTAAATCGGTTAAATTGAATAAAAATAAAATTAATCTGCCCTAAATGTATTTTTAAAACATAAATGATGGTTACCTCTTAATTTGCAAATACCACTGACCAGCCAGCTAAGCACCTATATATCGCCACTTTTCTGTTAATATGTTGGCATTTTTTCTAAAAACGAAGAGTCTGTTTAATGGTCGGTTGTAGGTCTAAATATGAAGCCCTTCACCTTAATGGCATCTCTAAGTGAAAGAAACAGAACTCAAATGGGGGGTAAAGCTAAATACATGTACAGCAAATCTTATAGAAAGCCTTCAGTCAAGAAATGAAGTTCCTATCTTAATGCGTTTTGCATGGAATTTATCAAAGGTTTTGAATTAAATATATTTCATTTAAAAAGAAGTCATATTCAGTTTAAGAACTAAAAATATGATGCTGAATTTTCTATGAATAAGAAATCCAAATGCATGTAAAAAAAACAAAAAAAAAAAACGATTAAACCAGCTTAACCATCTATCATTTTTTGTTTTGGATGTATTTTTTTTTTAAATTACACAATTATAAACGTTTTACGCGATAAAAAATCACTATCTCGTACAGCCCATCTGTTGTCTGTTATTTAGTAATCACACAAGTAATCGGTAGATAAACATCGCAAACAACAAGCGCTGTATCTACGTAGATGATCCACAAGTTACATGGTCAGTTCCTACAGAGGGTCTGCTACGTCGTAGTGTAGACTTTTTTAATTCGGAAAATATTGGCTTTCATTTCTAGATCACTGACATTAGTAATAGTAGTGATTGTGGCAGATGTTGCTTAATTAAGCTACGTAGATGTCATTTTAAGTGCTCCATCATTAGATGATAACTCCCGTCATAAATGTTCATTTGTAATCAGATTTTCAACACAGAACCTGCATGCTTAACCATGGGCTACATACTACATGACAGTCACTATTAGAGATAGACCATAACAATGAACGCATGGTAATACCAACAAATTCCTGGCAATTCGTGAAAAATAGTTTGCAATGGAAACAAATTTTTCATTTTCTACAATCTTTTACAGCAACGAGTTTGAAAATTTCTTTGTGAAACGAAATGAATCGGATGTCACAGTATGTGATAATGTACAGTGGCCAGAAAGTTGGCAGAATATTTACCAACTGTTTACTTTCATTGGGATCGTTTTAGTTGTCTTAAGCTGTGTTGGAAATATTGTAGCAATTGTGTTCATCAGGAAAAACCCCGCACTCCATTCCCCAACGTATACCGGAATTGCGTGCCTAGCGTTCTGCGACATAATCGCCGCAATTTTTCGCTTTCTTAAGTTTCGTTCTCATTCTATCTACGTTGTGATTGATGTTTGCAATGACTTAGAACTATCTGTCTTTGAGGATTCGCTCTCAATTTTATCATTTCTGACACTGAATTCATCATATTTTCATCTTACAATGATATCCGCGGTACGATATAGACTGATTTCCCGCCCTTTTAAGACTTACATAGGTCTAAGCTGTAGAACTGTATTGCAGTATTCAGCTGTCTGCTGGGTTCTCTCGCTGCTCGCAAGTTTTGGATATGGCGCCAAAGTATTAACCATAAGCCACGCGGAGGAACACATATCTGACGTCATAGAAATCGCATTCGTTATATATCTATTTTCAATTACCATTATTCCGTTACTGACGATTCACATTTTGAAAATTCGAAAGCTTCGAAAATCACTTGTAGTCAACAAAAGACATGAAGTGCGCATGCACACAATGATGGCAGTGATCTCAATAAGTACAGTGGCTTGTATCGTCCCCATTGCCGGGCTGCAGGTAAACAAATCCATCAAGGACGCGCGCCACGCCTTCAGCAGACGAGAGTTATTTGTCCAGGGCCAGCTGTCCCAGGTTTTTCTGGCGCTGAACCACGCTCTGCATCCTCTTCTCTTCTTCCTTCTGTCCGAACTGACCAAGAAAAAATTCAAACCTTTCTCTCAGAATGACGTCATCAACAAGTGTTTGGTCCTAAGCGAGGAATCTTTAAGGTCTGGGTAATTTATTTATAATGTCATTCATACATTCTTTTTTAGCATTTCATTTTTATAGATATTAGACCAACAATTTACTAGACATGTCAGTCTACCCAGGGAACTTTATTTTTAATATAGGAGGTCCACTGAAATGCTCTTAAATTTTCTCTTCAGAAAATGCTTCTTTCTCTACTTCGTATTCCAAATTGACCAAAATTCAAACACATTTAATGTCCCCTTCCCTCTATTGCATATGAGTACCAACGAGGGAGTGTAATATTTGCTTTCAAGTCAGATCAATTCTTTTTAAGTCAAATCTTTTTTATGTGTGTTCATTTTTATTTTACCTTGCACAGCCATCTTTTATTTGTTTCTGTCGATAGATTTATATATTGCAGAATGACATATTGTTTGATTCATTTGAATGTATATAAGTAGATGTAAGAAGTGATATAATTACAACAGGTAGCCAATTACAGGGTCCTCATTATATTTTAACAGGGGCTAATATTTCGAAATACGAAGCTACTTTTACTATTAATCTGAATGTTTTATTTTGTAGAAGAAAAATACATGTTGCAGATCAAAAAAATTCTAAACCCTCTTGAGTTCTCAGAAATACCAACATTTGGTTGGCAACGAAAATTACATGCAAATGCAAGATGTTTGACCAATAACGTTATAGAAGAGACAAATTGTTATTGTGTTATGCACAGGAATACTGAATGTAAAGTTTTACAAATTGGTTTAGATTAATTAAGTCCTTCCTTCAAAGAACGTTCCACTAGAATTCCTACAGCTTTTGCTCAGTGACAACCAACGTGTTGTATTTTCACGCGAGGAGAAAGTAAAACCAGGAACCGGATACGACATAATTGCGTGTTCCCTGTCAAAGGAGAGATCGTCTCTATCCTTGTTCCGGATAATTGGTTTTGATTTTTACATGAAACATATTCTACATTTTCCGCAGAAAACTAGACTACTGTGTTTCTACGAAATGGCAATAAATACCTGTTGATTTATATGTAGTCTAGTTGAGGGAAGACCTTCGGTAAAATGGAGAAATTAGTTTCTTTAAATGAATCTGGGATGTATGAAGAAATTGCAAATTGCTTCTCCAATAATAGCGTGATGAATTCTGGAAATAATACGTGCAGGAAAATTCCATTTTCTGACGATTGGCGTGCAGCGTTTGACACGGCCACTTCTATTGGAGTAACACTAGCCTTAATAAGTCTAGCGGGTAATATATTGACGATTGTCCAAATCAGGATGAATAAGTTGTCACACTCGCCCACCTACACCGCCATTTTGTGCTTGGCAATATCCGACAGTGTCGCCGTGGTTTTCAGGTTTATAAAATTCCGTGCGAATTATCTCTACGCCCTCATCTTTATGTGTATAGATGAAAACACCAAGATCTACGACGCCTTTGCTGGGGTATTTGCATTTGCGACCTTAAATGCCTCGTACTTTCATCTAGTGATGCTAAAAGCTTTGCGTTACTACATTGTGGCCCACCCTCTGAAGAGCCACAGTGTTGTAACTTCCAGGAGAGTTGTCGGATTTTCTATAATTTGTTGGACCATAAGCGCCGTTATAGGAGCATTCTACGGACTTAAAGCCGCCATGAGTGTGGGCATGTTATGGAATGGCATGACTAGTAGGACGTCCATCAGTATAGAATTTGCCTGTGTGTTTTATTTCCTTGCCATCACTTTAATTCCATTTTTGACTTTACATGTGATGAAAATTCGAAAAATGCACACGTACATGACTGTTCGTCATCGCCAAGAGAGAATGATGCACACCATGATGGTCGCCATTTGTGTTACAACAGTCGTCTGTCTGATTGTCGTACTTGCTTTCTGCTTCTACTTCTTTATAGATGAAAATGATCCATTTTACCTCTCCAATGTCGCACAAATTTTATTTTTTGTTAATCACGCATCTCATCCCATTTTCTATTTCTTATTTTCTGAAGTGTCGAGGAACAGCTGTTGTCGTAAAAGGCAAAACTCGCCGTTTGACAGCAGTACAAACAGTCGTCTGCGCAAGACGAGACTTCGAACATTTCACAAGGACGAGTCAGTGTTGCATGAAACAATTTAAAACAATTTTATAACTGCTTTCTGAGAATTAATTTGTTTGAATCTTACTCATATCAGTATGAAATGTTGCAAATCACGATCTTGTGTGTACGTTTTAATTTTACAATTTGAAAGATCTTTTAATTAATTTTTTTTTAATTTTAATTCTATAAATCAATGAAGCGACGCATAAGGATAAACAATGTGTTCATATTGCAGTTGTTTCCTTAAGTAAATTGTTACGAAGCATAAATTGAAAAATTGGTGATGTATAAATAAAATGAAATATTTATATTCAAAATATTAATTTTGTGAATTCCTTTATCTTATTTTGGAAAAGGTTAATATATATGTGATTCAAACATTGGATTAATAGTATTATATCTGTTTGGCAATCGTTATTTTCATAAATGCAAAAGTAAAATGCACAGCAATTTGCTTTTAGTTTTCAAATTTATCAGAGACTTAGCACTCTGTGTAATTTATAACGAGATATGACTGGATCCCGTGTAGTAATTATCTCTGACAAGCTGTGACGTGAACTCCTCTAGCGGGGGAGGAGGAGAGTGTACAACCAGATCATCGTAAATGTCCGTCAAATCAATCTAAGATATACAGTGTATACACATGAAAGAAGGATGATATCAAGTGCGCATAATAACTTAATGAGGCTAGGTAAAAAAATCATCATTCCATAAGTAAAGAAATTATGCACAATATATATTATACATGTATATGCAAGTTAAATGAAATTGCACATCTTTAATTCGTTTTAATTAGTATCAGATACGTCTTGAAACTTAGATTGTCTTCTTATACAAAGACTTTTTATACAACGAATTGCCAAAATATGCATGTATGTAGAATTCAGTTACGATTTTAATACAATTATAGGCTATATTACAGGTGAAATTAAATATTAATTTAATTTTTTGCAGTTGTCTCTTTCTTTTCAGTTTTAAAATGTACCTAAAAGGTCAAATCTAAGGTCGGTACCCATGATATTTGACACAAACCATAGTGCCACTCTAGTTCCGAGCAATCTGTTGCTTAAATTTCAAATTCATTCCTCATACAGTTCTCAAGATGTAAGGTACATATTGTATGGCAGACGGACAGGCAGATAGACGCAAGATAGAGTGCTCCTTTATTGTTGCTTTGTTCTGCAGGCAACTCTTTAATGAGTTGAGAACCATCTTAATCCATAAATGTTTGAAATCTTCTTTTATTTTACTACTTTTGACAACTAGGAAGAGAGATTTACCCTCACAGCGACATACCAACTAAGAGAAAGGAGCAATTGAATACGGAGATAGTAATGAAGTTTAAAATACATTTCAACAATATGTACAGATCAGTAAAAGTGGAATCATTACCTCTGAAATAGCAGAGGCGGGATGAGGTGCCATGGAGAAATAAGCATTCCCTGTCGACAAACCACATCCGTTAGGTTCTCCTTCTCATGAATGGATAGGTGGGAAATTCCGTAGAAATCCTAGTGTGTAAAAGTATGGCCTAGCATTTGGCCTGATGACAGATTGTGTTTGTTGAGAGAGAAATTGTATAAATGCGAAATGATGACTTCAAACAAGATTTGTGAATTTTTTATTTCATTCAACTTGCAAAGCAATAAGTACTCTTCTTGAAAAGAACATTTAACATTATTTTTCACATTCCTGAATTATTAACTCTATAGAAATATATCATAAGACACAATACAGCGTTTTTTTTCTTTTTAATTAAAATAAAATTAAATGTAAATAGATTATTGGCATTTGCATCAAAGGGAATCAGTGCGTCAAAAATTGAAATCTGGAGGAAGTTCTTTACATTTCTTGAAAATTCCTTGTTGGTGATCATGATATATGTTAATTTTTTGATTCTGCTCCTCGGATTATGGATTCAATTGGCCTTTCTATTTTTTAAACTACCTAGTACAGGAGTCATACTCTGAATCCTCTATTTTGTTGGCCTTTGTATGATCATACATGTCGTCTGAGGGCGTGTAAGGGACGTCACCGTATCCGGTCTCACACAAGTCGGGGTTGTTATACACATTGTCTGATTCTGTAATTTTTCTCGTACGTTTCTCTCCAAGGTGATCATAAACATCCATGTTTGAATCTACATAAGGCAGTTCTTCGTCTTTGTCTTCTTTGCCGGATGCATCATACCTACCTCCCATTTCTGTGGTGTTATTAGGTTTATTCCTCTCAGAATACTCATTGTGAAACTGCACTCTTAAATTTCCGTCAGTGGTTATCGCTTTCATTTTTCTATATCTGAAAAACATATACGTTGAAATTTTTTTAATTCAAAGAAGAAATAAGTTTCAATGTTGTAAAATTTTAAAAACATTTAGAAATTTGTTTGAAATTCTTTTTCCGATTTCAATTCATATATATATATCGGTATGAATTGTGATGGATAACTTATTGTACTTTTTTCCTGACCTGTTTTTACTTTCTCAAGAAGCACAATATATTCAAATACATGAGAAGAAATTTTTCTGATCAACGTTTTAATCAATCAAAATTTTTTCATTCATATTTATTGTTAGTCTATACATGTACACTAAATTCACGACGGATTTTCCCATTATTTCCCGATAATGACAAGGAGCACACGGGGTGTCACCAATCGACAGAACTTCTCCACAGCACCTGATCCCACCCCTGATGTTTCGGAGGTCCGTGTTTGCTCTGCTCTTATTTTGTATTGTTTAATGGACTTTTGAGCTTGAATACTGTTCGTTATCTCCATATATTTCATGCCACTTGATATTTTCCAGAAAAGTAATAAATACATTTGAACAATGCAATACTGAACAATGGCATTTTACTAACTTCTTAATATATTAAAACACATGTATGTATATGTATATATACACTGTCATTTACCAGATTTTGCCGTCGATTATTCTAACATTAGCCTGGGATACTCGTTCTATTGATTGTATGTTGTTTAACGTCTCTCTCGAGAATTTTTCACTCATATGGAGGTATCATCGTATGCCGGTGAAGGGCTTCAAATTTTGACCTTGACTCGGCACTCAGGGCCATTGAGCAGTGAGGGATCTTTATCGTGCCAACGCCTGCCGCTGACACGGGGCCTCGGTTTTTAAGGTCTCATCCGAAGAACCCGCAACTTTCCAAGTGCCGAGCCCATGGCGAAGGAACATTTGCTACCAATTTTTAACGACTAGGTTGGTCGCGGCCGAGATACGAACTTACGACCTGCCGATCACGGAGCGAGCGGTCTACCGACTGAGCTACCGTGAACGGTTGATACTCGTTCTAAATACAATGTAATAGTAAATAAGGAACCATTAACTGTTAAGATATAGACGAACGATAAATACCTATATAAGATGAATATTGCAGAAGAGATGACGATAATAATAATACATGGTACAGTAACTGCAATAATGATCGCTACACGCTTATTACCTGGTCCTGAAATTAAATCATTAAACGGGTTATTTTACCTTGAATTTACCCAATGATTTTAAGTGAATATATATTAAAAGTTAATAAAGATGTTTGTGTTTCATTTGATACTATTTATCTTAGAAATATAAAAATCCAACATAT